CAGATGCAGGAAAGCCTGACCTTGCTGAGGAAGCCCTGCCTCTCCCACTCCACCTGAAGCTAAGAATGCTGCACAGCCTTGTGAAGGTTTGAGCCTGGTTGCTCTCAGTTCCTCCCAGCGTGGATGCGTTCCTGCCTTTCCCAGCCTGCAGGAGTCAGAGGGCGCTGTGCAAGCACACTGAGCCAAGGCCCAGTGGTGATGGTGGCAGCAGTGGTTGGCCATGGATGAGGCTGGTGGCCCTGAGGAAGACTGCTGGGTAAGTGAGGTGGTCCTGAGGTATCCCTGTCCTCATCTGCTCCCTGTTAGGGCCTGGGCCTTCCTTAGAGTCCGTGTGGGGTGGGAGGTCCCTGAACTCAGTTGTGGGAGTTGTGGCTGTAAGGTCTTGAAGGTATCTGGAGCAAGTGTGGGCCAGGTGGCTGCCAGCTATAGGTGCTCTGTGGAAACCGAGGTCCCTGAAGGCCTATCACTTCCTTGGGGATTCTGACTCAGGTTTTGAGAAAATCTGATTGACTTGGGCTGCGGGGTGGTCACTTTCATTAGCTGTGATGGGGGCAGGGCAGGGCAGTGGGGAGCACTGTAGCCCCTTGCAGAAGATCCAACATTCTGCTCCATCTGTAGTTAGCTGGGATTGTGACAGAGAAGGCAGTGCAGGGTTTGTGGTGCAGGAGGAGGTAGCCAGCAGGGTGGGTCCCCGTTTTTCTCCTGACTGACAGGGTGCTTGCTGTGTGCCCTGCTATCCTGGTGCATATGCACACCTGGTGTGTGTGCGTGTGTGCTTTCATGGGTCAGATGTGTGGGGTTTGGAATTTTATTCGTTTTTAAAAACCAACTAAACAGATTAACTAAATCAATGAAGTGAACAAGCCAAAATGGTTGGTTAATTAATTCAATCAGCTTATTGATTGAATGAATTGATGAACTTGTTAGAGCAGATGAGTGAGAATCTGAGAGGCCTGCAGGAGGCAGGCCCTGGAAGCTGACTAGGAAGCCTGTCTGCCAAAGGCCTGGTGAGCAGTGACAGTGATCAGAAGCTGAGAAGATGTGCCTGTCTTTTGTAGCCCTGCACCTGAGGGAAGAGCTGTCAAAAGTCAAAAAGAAGGACTTTGAGCACTTGCTGATGGAGGTGATGCAGATCTGGGACTTTCTGCTCCGGATCCCCAATTAGGAAGTCCTGGAGAGTTGCTCCAAGTTGAAGATTGTCAACAAATTGAGTCTCCCTGCATCCCTAGTGGGCCTCAGCTCAGGGGTGTGTAATTCATTCATTGCTGGTTCAGCCTAGATGAGCAGCTACTAAGTAAGTACAAGTGACTAGAAAGGATAGTTAAGCATTGGTGGGTGCTGGGCAGAATTGGGTTGCTTTCTGAAGCACCTGCCATGGCCTGTCTCTCTCTCTCTCTCTCTCTCTCTCCTTTCTTCTGGCTCTCCTACCCATCAGAGCACGTTTAGGTCTTTACTAATTGGAGAAAATGAGGTCCTTTCCTTGTATAAATGAAGGACTTTGCTGTGTGGACAGCTGGCATGGAGTTGCTGGCTGGGCCATGTGTAGTGTAGATTTTGAACTCCGAGTGGAGCTGATGTGAGAAATAGCCTTCCAGGATCCTGCTGCCATCGGAGATTACCCTACGGGAGATTTGGACCTGGCCTGTCTGGGATGGAAGTAAGATGAAGGTAGTCTTTTGTGGTTAAGGATACTTCACCAGGCACTGTTTGACAGGGCCCCCCCGAGTGTCGGTCTGAGCAAGGAGATGTCAGGGGTCAAGAGTGTGAGTTTCTGGGTTGAGCAGATGAATGAGCCTGCCAGCATGAAGCCAGAGGTAGAATGTTGGTAGTGCTATGCGACAACAGCCTTATGTTCTAGGGGTCAATTTTTTTTCATTTTTTTTTTAACTTTTTTTATTATTTTCATTTTATGATACAGTTCCATAGGCTCTTGGCATTTCCCTTATCCCCTCTCCAATTCCCTCCCCCCACCTAGTTCCTCTATATCATTACTAACATATAGTTCTTCATACACAGTCATATGTCCATCATTGCAGGCATGGACAATGGCAGAGTCCAGAATCCTATTGTCAAGATATAGTATACAGGTTCATTGTCAGTCCATCTTTGACTGGAGGCAGAAATGCATCCTACACTGCATCCTCACATCTGGATGTTAGTCTCCATTTCATAGCTACTGTACATCCCCTTAAATAAAAAGTCATGATACAAAGTCAACAATAGAAAAAATAGAAATTTACAATGCCAGGAAGTTAAATGACATGTCACTGGATATGACTGTCTCCATTATGCAACTACTGTACAGCCCCTTAATTGAAGAGCCACAAAACAAAATCAACATCAGGGAGAAATAGGATATTAACAACACCATGAAGTTAAATAATATGCTATTAAATGACTAACTTGTAGCTGAAGAAATGAAAATCAAGAACCCGGCCCGGCGTGGTGGCGCAAGTGGTTAAGGTCCTCGCCTTGCACGCCCGGGATCCCATATGGGCGCCGGTTCTAATCCCAGTGGCCCCGCTTCCCTTCCAGCTCCCTGCCTGTGGCCCGGGAAAGCAGTCGAGGATGGCCCAAAGCCTTGGGACTATGCACCCGCATGGGAGAGGTAGAAGAGTCTCCTGGCTTTGGATCGGCATAGCATCGGCCGTTGCGCTCACTTGGGGAGTGAATCATTGGACGGAAGACCTTCCTCTTTGTCTGTCCTCTCTGTATATCTGCCTTTCCAAGAATAATAAAAATAAATCTTTAAAAAACGAAAAAGAAAATCAAAAACCTTCTTGAAGAAATTGATGCCACTGCATGTTCTACGGAGTCATTGAATGATTTAATCAGATGAAAAGTGTTTTGAAGAGGTGAAACCAACAGAAAACAACAAAACCTATGCAACATAGTTTCTGCTGATCTTTGTTGGTGAAGTGTGTCTCCTCCAGACAATAAATAGATGGGTTTTGTTTTTTAATCCAGTCTACTCATCTATGATGTTTGATTGAGCTTAAACCGTTTACATTCGGAGATTAATATGTATGGGTGGTACTTTGGTCCTGTCATTTTAGGAATGGGCTGTTCATTGGTTTAGTCTTCTGTTGTCATTTTACTGGTATATTCTTTCCGTTTGCCTTTGGTTTTGTTTGGTGCTAGGCCTCTTCTCTGTCAAGAGAACATCTTGAAGTATCGTTTGTAGGTCAGGTTTGAAAGAGGCAAATTCTTTTAACTTCTCGTTACTGCAGATGAATTTTAGAAAGACACTATTAAGAGACCAAATATAAGAGTTATGGGAGTCCCAGAAGGTGCAGAAAGAGAAGCTGAAATAATAAAGGAAACAATAAAGGAAAATTTCCCTAATCTAGAGAAAGAATTGGGAAACAACATCTAGGAGGGTCAGAGAACTCCCAACAGGCTTGACCAGAAGAGATCTTCACTAAGATAACCTCAGGCTTCCTGGCCTGTGGCTGCAGAAATGGTCTTTTAAGACAAGGGTCTATGGGGGCAGAGAAGGCCTCATGCAACAGGACCTTTGGGTGAAGTAATGGCCCTCACCCATCTGGGTCCTGTGAGTATAGATGTGGTCTCGCCGAAGAGGGATCTGAGCTTGCAGGGATGGCATTGTATGACACGGGCCTGTGGGTATGGGATGATATCCCACCACATGAGCCTGTGGAGTTTGGTGTCAGGTTCCTTTGGAAGTGGGTTGGCCTTGCCATGCCAGGGCCTATGGGTGCGGGGCAGTCCGGGTGTGATTTTGGCCTGTGTGTGTGGATTAGCTCACCATCTGGTGCCTGTGGGTTCAGACATGGCTTTGCATTGACAGGGTTCTGTGGATGAAGAGATGGCCTTGTGCAACAGAAACCTTTGGGTTCAGGGTGGCCTCAAATGCTAAAGGCCTGGGGCGGGGGGGGGGGGGGGAGGCAGCACTGTACAAAAGGTGTCCATGGGTGTGGGATGGCCTCTCATGCCACAGAGGCCTTTGGGTGCAAGGAAGGCCTCATGTGTTGGGCTCATAGGTGCAAGTACGGCCTCTGTGTGCATGGCCTGTATGTTCAGGACAGCCTTGTGTGATGGGAGCCTGTGGGCTGTAGGGTAAGGGACTTTTGGGTACAGGGACAGCCTTGCCATTTAAAATCTTGTGGGTGTGGGGTAGGGCTAGTAAGACCTTAGCCCATGCATGTGTTGACAGCTCCTATGTTCAGGGCCTCTGTGTTCAGGGACAACCTAATCCACCTGGGTCCTGTGGGTACAGGACAGCCTCTCACGCCATGGGTGGGTACAGGTTCTGCCACAATGACAAGGGTCTGAGGGAGCAGGGGTGGCCTCATGTGTCCAGGGCCTATGCATGTGGGGATACCCTCGTTGGTGCAGGGCTTGTGTGGTCAAAGATGACCTCACCCATCATTTTTGTGGGTGCAGGGATGGCCTCAAACAAATGGTGCCTGTGGGTGTGGGGATGACTGTGTGTATGCAGGGTCTTTGGGTGCTTAGACTGCCTCATGCAACAGTGAGCTGTGGGTATAGGGATTACAACACATATCTGGGACGTCTCTTATGGAGATGGCCTTACACGTCCAAGGCCTGTGGGTGAAGTGACATCTTTATATATCTGTGGCCTGTGTTTGCATGAGAGGTCTTAATGGGTTGTTGGATGACCTTGTAGGTCCAGGGTCCATGTAGTCAGGATGGGCTTATGTGTGCCAGGATGGCCTCTTGCAACAAGGACCTGTAGGTGCAGCATGGCCTTGCACTACCTTGGCCATTGGTTGTAGATGTGTCCTCCTCTGACAGAGGCTGTGTGTGCCTGATGGCTTCCTGCAACTTGGTCCTGTGATCCAGCATGGCATCAAAAATTGGCCCCTGTGTTTTCTGGGAATGCCTAGAAAGCAAGTGTCTGTCGGATCAGTTACAGTCTTGAGTGACCCAAAGGGGTTTTGGATGCAGGCATGGTCCTGCATGAAATGAACTTTTGGTTGCAAAGAAGGGTTTATGCAACAGGGGCCTTATTGTGCAGAGATGATCTCATGTGACAGGGGCTGTTGGATCAAGATGACCTTATGTGACAGCACCTTTGTATACATGGAAGGCCTCACGTGACATTTGTCTTGTGTGCAGGCATTGCCTCACATGATGGTGACCTGTGTGTGCAGGGAGGGCCACACAATGAGAGTGGCTTTTGGATGCAGTGATAGCCTCATGTGACAGGTCGTTTGCATGCAGAGCTGACTTGATGGGTGTGCGATCTGTAGATGCAGGGTGGCCTCTAACAACTGGGTCTGTGAGTACAATGATGACCTTGTGTGACAGAACTGTGGCCTAGGATGACTTCACATGACATTGGCCTTCAGTTCCATAGATAACCTTGTGCGATCGGAGCATGAGGATGCGGGGATGGTCTCACGTTACAGGGATGTGTGGGTAAAGGATGATCTCCTGAGTCCACGTCCTCTGGATGCAGGGATGGCTCACAAGGCAGAGGCCTTTTAGTTCTGGGATGGACATCCCACTTGGCCCAGCAACCCCCAGAGCAGGTGATCACGCTTGCTTGCTTGCTGGGCCAAGTGGGATGTCCACCTTGGATGAAGAAGTGTCTCAGGGAATGGATTGAATAAGGAGGCACGGTGGGCAAAAGTGTCCCTAACCAACCTCATTTGTTTCTGCAGGGAGTCCAGCAAGCAAGCATTGCATGCCACATTCTCTCAGCCACTTCTTCAGTAGAGTTTTCTGGGTCCTGATCTGTACAGAGGGACAGGCAATGGGCAGGTGAGTGCTGTGAGAACCCAGGACTGGAGAGACCAGGGTTTTGCATCAGAAATGAGGCTTCCTGCCTCTGTCCTTTGGCATGGTCCCTGGACTGGGTCAGGGCTCCGAGTGAAAGTGCACAGGTGCCATATCCTCAGAAGGCAAGAGGATGCCTGTTAGTGGGTGGTCCCTGCCAGCCTCTTTCCCAGGTGGGCACATGTGGAATGGAGCTCCCAGATTCCTCCCACCCTTTGAGTGTCATGATAGACCAGCTAGCTGCCTGATGGCACTTGGACACTGACGGGCTATCCTCATGATTTGCCTCCGTTACCGTGGATCAGCTGCTGAGGCTCAGGCCTGGGCTGGCTAGCTGCCAGGTCAAGGGGGCACACTGCAGTCACCTCATGGAGCTGCACCACGAGGACCTTGGGAAGAGCTTGGCAGTGACCACCACAGCTTCCCAAGTCCTGAGTGTCTGCGCCACAGCCCCAACCTTCCTGGCTGTATAGCCCAAACTACAGCACAGGGCCTGAGGCCCCGTTCCGTTCTCCAGGCCCAAACACTTTTATTTTCTGGGTGTGTGGGGCCTCCCCAGGTATAACACCTGCCCATTTCAGAGAGCCTTCCACCAAGATGGAGGGTGACTCCCAGTGGCAGTTGGACTATTCCATTTATGAGGAGGGGTGAGCTGGTGGCGAGAGGGTATGTCACAGGCTCTGGTGGGATGGGTTCAGACCTGTATTATGCTGGGATAGAAAGTGTACCAAAGGGGCCATCATGATGCCCTATCAGTTGTGTGTTGTGGCACCACAGGCCTGTGGGATCCATGTTCTGTGGCTCTCCCTGGTCCCCCATAGCTGGCTCTGGAGTGGTACGCTCCAGTTGCCAGGAGTGGATTGTAAACAAAGCCAGTATTCTTCCCATGGAGGCTGTGGATGGTGGTAGTGGATATTTAACCCTCTTCTCCGTGAATGGAGCCCCCCCGGGGCCACCCCACATTTACATGTGGGGTAGTTCCAGGATGAGCTACGTGAAGTGAGTCTGGGTGCCCTCAGGGTTATGTAATCTGAGCCAGTGTGATCTCAGGGTCTGAGGCCAGCCCTCACTGTGGCCAGGTGTATTGTGTGGTTTGCTCCTGTGGTAGAGCAGGACCTGGGTATCAGGAACTTGGTCTACACAAAGTATGGGAATGGTTCTTGAGTTCCAAATGAAGTAGCCTTTTTGTTTTAAAGTTTGAGCGGGGGTCAGTGACACATGGTCCTTCCAACTCTGACAAAGTTAAGGGCAGAAATCCCTAAATCCATGTAGTGATGAAACCTCTTGTCTTGAAAGGACACCTGAGCTAGCTTCAGAGTTTGGGATTATAATTCATCATCTTCCAATAAAGAGTGCCCCTGAGAGATGCTTTTAAGTGAGATTGTTTACCCTCTTTTATCTTTGTCTTGTTAACAGGGATGATATTGTTAAAGCATAGCGATTATGAATTCCCAGAGGTTTTTTGTTTGTTTGTTTGTTTGTTAGCTTCAGTTTATTATTAGGTAACAGATTTTTCCTGCTTCAGTATTCATGGTAGTAGTTGTGGGCATGTTAAGTGGTATTTCTCTTGCCATGTTTTATTACACACTCTTATTTTTTTTAAAGACCATTTAAACATTGAGGCAGTTGCAATTATTCTGTTTATTCATTTATTGTACTGTAGGTGTGTGTGTGTGTGTTTGTTGTCTGTCCACCAGCATCAAGCTGTGCAGGGGGAGAGAAGACAAAAATGAGTATACAACACTAGTATAAAGAATCAAATGCTTACTGAAGCATACACACAGTCTGCTAGGGAAATTGAAGGTTGGAAGAGATGGTATTTTCTTTGATTAGGGAAGTCTTTAGGCTAAGGAGCTGGTTTAAGCAGTGGAGGCATGAAGCACAGTGGTGCATGAAGAGAAAAGCAGCTGTGTTAGTGGAGAGTGGGCTCAGGAACTGATGTGTTGGCGTGCTTGCTAGGGACATAGAGTCCAAGTGCTGTAGGTGTTGGGGAGCTGGTTGAAGCCTTTCCGGGAGTTAGACTTGGGCCTTCCTGGGCCTAGGTAAGGATGTAGGTTAGATGTCAGAGAAGCAAAACTCAAGATAGAACTGAAGTGAGTGATAACAGAGTGGTAGGAATAGAGGAGGAAATAGTGAGTAGGCACATAGTTAGGCACTAAAAGTTAAAACGAGTATTACTTCATTATTAGATATGAAGGAGGAGAGAAAGAAGGAATCTGGAGTAAAACTGCCAGCTTTCTGGCTCTGGCAATCTAGGCATCCCAACAAGAGGACTAATTCTTTTTCTGCCTCTCAAATTATCAGGCTTATTTACTTGGTCTATATTAAATAAATACATAGAGAGCAGCCTGGCTGCGAGGATTAGAGTTATAAAAAAGATCTTGGAGGGGAGAATACTTGGTAAGTTTTTTTTGTCCCCCTTAGGCAGAAAGGTCTACCGTCTACCAAAGGAAAATTTGCTATAGAGATTTTGGATTGAAGCCCAGAAAGAACTAAGCTTGTAGTTCAGATTGCTCTTTAAAATGCATTTGTCATCTTCTTTTCCCTGCCTGTGTGCTTTATTTTTCATAAAGTGGCATCTGGGGCTTGATCCAGAGAGAGTTGAACTACAGAACCAGGTTGAAAGTCGAGCTGTATTTTGCTCAAGACCAATGGGAGAGAAGAAGTGATTTCCAAGGTCACAGTTATGGCATCACAACCATGAAGGGCCAAAAATAGAGCTTCCCTTTCAATTTCCTGAGTGTGAAAATAGATCATTCCCTCCTAGATAATAGGAGAAACCTATAGAGTTGGAGTGCAGGGCTTCAGAATCTAAACACATGGGCAGAATTGTGACATCGCTGATAAAGTTACCTCCCATGACATTGCCCTCCCACACTGCAATACTGGCTGCACCACTTCTGATCCACTTCCTCTGATGCACCTAGGAGAGCAACAGAAACTGGCCATGTGCTTGGACTCCTGCATCCCATGTGGGAGACCTAGATCTGGTCCTAGGCACCTGACTTCGACCAGACCTAGCTGCCAGTTTTTGCCATTTGGGGAAGTGGAGAGAAGTCTCTGACTCTTTCACTCTACCTCCCAAGTAAACAAAATGACTCTTTTTAAACAAGAACTCTAAACCCAAAGTTCTGTCAGTGACTTTTAGACTTTGTAATTGAAATATTTGTTTGAGAGTTGTGAAGATTGAGTCAGAGAATGACGGTGCTCTCACCTGCTTGTCTGCTGTGTCTGGGGCTCAAGCTGGGAGTCACGCATACAACTCAGCTTTCCCTTGTGGGGGCAGGACCTCCGTTACTGGAGCCATTGCTGCTTTCTCGATTCTGCATGAGCAGCAAGCTGGAGTCAGGAGCTGGGACTGGGAATTGAGCAAGGCAATTCTGTGGAATGTAATCTTAATCATTAAACAAAAGACCCACACCTCAAAATTCATTTGAAAGCTTCAGATAACTTTTTTTTCCCTTTCCAGTAGGGAAATCTTTTCACGGAGAATATAATATACTTTATATATATAGAACCCAATTTGGTGTTAAAAAAAGGAAAGAAGCTGAACTTACATTACTCAGCTTCTTTCAGTGGCCTTCTCTGTTCCTGTCCCATCATTTGGAAGGTGTGGGGATGCTCGTATTTGAGTCCAGTTTGAGAAATTATTGCTTTTCTCTCTATCGTGCGTCTTTTGCACTGAGTGATAGTAGGTAGAAGTTTCCAGAAGAATTTCCTGTGGTGCCTTCTGTTTGTTATGATTCTACAGCCCGTTTCCTGAAAGGAAAATAATGGAGTTGGCTATATAGATTTGGATCTCTGTTTACTGCCTCAATTGCATTTTTAAGAACTGAGTTTTCTTTGTCTTGAAGGTTGTTCCTACAGTACCTGAGGATGCTGGACAAAGAGCTCATCCCCGTGGATTTCTGTGGGGTTGCAATATACGTTCAGCCATTACTTTTGTTCTCATTTGCATTTTTATGTGGAGAATTTTTCGATATGTAAGTAAACAATGCTGTATTCAAAAATGTTTGTTCTGTCTTTAAGTTGAACAAGTAATGTAAGATTTGTATTTTTTTGAGAAAGCAAAATCATGTATATGTCTAAGATAAAACAGAAGGGGTATAGAGCAAGTTTTTAAGTATAAAATTTTGAAAGAATGTCCTTGGAGAAGTTTTCTATGGTATTGATACCCAAATACTTTTAGTTCTTCCCTTGTTGTTTTTTTAAAGTTGATTCAAATGGCTGAAAGAGCGAGAGAAACAGGGTGACAGACCAAAAGAAATGGCCAATCTGCTGTTTCACTGTTCAGATTCCTCCAACAGCCAGGGCTGGGCAAGGTGGTTGGGAGCTGAGAACTCAGAGTCTCCCACATGAGTAGCATGGCCCAAATACATGAGCTGTTACTAGTGCCTCCTGTGGTCTGTATTGGTAGGGCTGTGGAGGCAGGAAGCAGAGCTGGAGATTGAACGTAGACCCTCTAGTTTGGGATGTGGCCATGTTACCCATACAGTTTTCAATCAGTAGGTCAGGTTGAGCAGTTTATCATAATGATGAATAATTATTGATGTACTTAATTTCTTCCAGCATAGGTTATTAACTTCTTCCACTTAAAAAAGAAAGCTTATTTATTTGATGCTTTCAAGTAAATGAGTGAGAGGCGAAAAGCAATCTACTGACTGATTTATTCCTCAAGTGGCTGCAGTAACTGAGGGCTGGGCCAGAAGGAAGCCAGGAGCCAGCAATTGCATCAGTGTCTCTCCCATATGTGACAGGAACTCAAGTTCTTGAGCAACCATTAGCTGCTTCCCATGTCAATAATAAGGACTTGGACTGGAGCTGGAGTAGCTGATCCTTTCTCCCAGCCAGTCGCCTTTCACTTGGAGCTGAGGGCGTTGGCATGTAACCACTCTCCTTCTCTGGGTCACAAGAAGCCATGCAACAGGAAGGGGTGCACTCACTGTCCTGATGGACATAGATGAAAATACAAACTTGTCTCTCCCACTTTCCTCACTCTGCACATCTATCCCTGGATGTGTCTGTGACTTCTTCAGCATTTACATAAACAGGACCACGAAGAATTTTAAAAGGTGTGGGGAAAGCAGGATTAATTAATTAATTTCTTTGAAAGGCATAGTAGGAGGGTGGATGAAGACAGAGGGAGGGGAGGTATTTTTCAGTTGCTGGCTCAGTCCCCAAATTTTGGCTGCAACCAGTGAAGCTGAGCCAGGCCAAAGATGACAGGAGCCAGGAGTTTCATCCATTCTCCCAGGTGTGTGGCATGGGCCCAAGAACATGGGCCACTTCCCACTGCTTTCCTAGATGCATTCACAGACAGCTGAATCTGAAATAGAGCAACCAGCATCCATAGGAGATGCTGCTGTCACAGGTGATAGCGTAACATACTGTGGCACTGTGGCGGCCCTTTGAGATTCTTTGCATTTGATGTTCTGATTTCAGTATCATGTGTCTAGCCATAAAATTCCTTTGTCTTTTCGACTTCTCTAGACTCAGGATTGTCTTTATGTCAATTTGGAGAAATCTCTCCATTTAAAAGTCAGTTTCTCTTTTTGAAGTACTATTGTTCAGATATTGGCTCTCCTTACTTTTTTTTATTTTTCAGTTTTTACTTTTTTTGAAGATTTATTTTTTATTGCAAAAAAATAGATTTGCAGAAACAAGAAGAGGGAGAGGGAGATTTTGCATCTGCTGGTTCACTCTCAATAGTGTCACCACCATAGGTGATGCTGGCAGGGACTGAACTGATCAGAAGCCAGGATCCAAGAGCTTATTGTGCGTCCCGCACGGGTGCAAGGTCCCAAGACTTTGGACCATCATTCAGTGCTTTTTTTGTTTTTTGTTTTTGTTGTTGTAGTTGTTGTTTATTAAGTTTGGATCAAGTTTGAATTGAGCATCCAGGCCATAAGGATGGAGCTGGGTGGGAAGTCGAGCAACCAGGGCAAGAACTAACATCTGTGTGGGATGCTGAGTTCTAGCAGGCAAAGGATTAGACAGTTGGGCCATCGTTTTGGCCACCTGGTTTTCCTTTAAGCTTGAGGAGCTTCCCCAAATAATGTTCTGACTTACTAGTTTACTTTATATTTGTTTACATTTGTAGGATTGTATTGTAGCCTGCTTTTTCTTGTTTAATTTTATCTGTATCCTTATTCTCTAGATGAATTCAGTTTCCTTTTATCTTACCTTTCAGCCCTCACTAAGCTCTTAAACTGGATTTTTCCCTTGCTTTATTATTTGTTAAAGAGAAAGATCAAAGAGGAAGAAGATTTGCTTTACTAAATAAAAATGAAAACTAAATAACATGAAAAGATGTTTGTTTGGTGCAGACATACTTTTTGCAGAGTTCCTATTCTACGTGGACTTTTTGTACTTGCCTCATTTAAGTGAAGGTGAGTGAAGTAGAGTTCTGTCACACACAGTCCAGATTGTCGCAGAACACAGTCTGTGACAAAGGCTTCTCCTTTACTAACGGCTACATATCCATTTACAATTTGATAACCCTCGTTAGCTACTGGTAGTTAGTATTCTGCTTGGAGACCAGCTTTGCTTTTCTAGCATTCCTTGTCCTCTAGTTCTGTCTGCTTGCCCCTCTTGTCCCGGAGTTGTATTCCAGCGCACGGTACAGCACGTGTCCTCATCTGTTGATCTGTCACTGAGACTGGACTGGTGCTGCCGTGGACACGGAGCGCAGCGTCTCCCTGAGTGCGCATTCGCAAGTGGACTGGTCGGATCACACCGCTGCCTTGCGTCGCTCCCGTGTATTGCAGTTCCCTTTGCTGCACGTCCTTGCCAAGTGTTGTCTTTTTAATAACCACTGGAATTGGCATGAGATGAATTTCATTGTAGTTTTATGTTTCCGGTGGCCAATGAAATGAAGCATTTCTCATGCATTTACTGTTTCTTCTAAGAAATATCCAGGTCATTTTGTGTGGTTTTGGGTTCTCTACATACCCATATAACAATCCTTAGTAACACAGCGGCTTGCGAAGATCCTCTCCACTGTTATTTCCTTTGTTGTGCGCAAACGTCCACCTTTGTTTTTGCTTTCCTTGCCTTTGCTTTGGAAGCTTTACCCCGCAAAAATGTTCATCTTAAAGTGTTTTCTCCTTTTTCTTCTAGCAGTTTCAGGTCTTAGGTAATTTTGCATATGGTCAGAAATATGGACAAAGTCCCAGCCTATTGTTGGTATTAAATTGTCCCAGCACCATTTAAAAATTTTTTTTAAAAAAGATGTATTTATTTATGAGTGTGTGTTTATTGGAAAGGCAGATATACAGAGAGGAGGAGAGACAGAGAGGAAGATTTTCTGTCCGATGGTTCACTCCTCAAGCGGTCATGATAGCTGGAGCTGAGCCAATCCGAAGCCAGGAACCAGGAGCTCTTTCGGGTCTTCCATGCAGGTGCAGGGTCCCAAGGCTTTGGGCCACCCTCAACTACTTTTCCAGGCCACAAGCAGGGAGCTGGATGGGAAGCCGGACCACTAGGATTAGAACCGGCAGCCATATGGGATCCCAGTGTGAGCAAGGCGAGGACTTTAACCACTACGCTATCACGCTGGGCCCAGATTTGTTTGTTTTTATTGGAAAGCTAGATCCACAGAGAGGACAGAAAGATCTTCCACCTGCTGGTTCACTCCCCAAGTGGCCACAACAGCCAGAGCTGAGCTGATCCAAAACCAGGAGCCAGGAGACTCCAGTACTGTGTTGTGCTGTCTGGGGTGCTTGTTGGCAGGAGAGTTCAGCAGGAGTGGAGAAGCGGGCATTCCATGTAGGCACTTTGATAGGGGGGTGTGAGCAGCCCAGGTGGCAGCTTAACCACTGTACTGCTTGCCTTGCCCTGTGTGCTAAGTTGGTACCCCCTTCACTCAACTCGTTTAGCAGTTCTAATAGGCTGCTGAAGGCCAGTGTGGCACAGTGGGTTAATCTGCCTGCAACACTGGTATTCCACAGCGTTGCTGATGAGAGTCCCGGGTGCTCCACTTACAGCCCAGCTCTTGCTATTGCACTGGGCTAACCAGTGCAGGACAACTTGAGTGCTTGGGCCCCTGGTACTCTCGGGGAGACCTGCATGGAGTTTGACTTTAGCTCGCATCTGACTGTTGCAGCCATTTAGAAAGTAAACCAACCCTTGCCAGCTCACTCTCTGCCTTCTCTCAAATAAAGCTTCATGAAAGTAGTCTGCTGGTAGTTTTTAGATTTTTCTATACTTGTATTCAAAATCAAAAACACAAATAGGATCACTTGACATTTGCCCTTGCCACATGGCTTTTCTTTCTTCCACCTAGTTGCTCATTTCCAATGTTATGTTGAGTGAGAGTGATGAGAATGGACATGGTTGTCTGATTTCAGATCTTGGAGAAAACACTTTGAATTTTTCCCTATTAAAAAACAATGTGGGGCCCGGCGCGGTGGCGCAGTGGTTAAGGTTCTCGCCTTGCACGCCCGGGATCCCATATGGGCGCCGGTTCTAATCCCGGCAGCCCCGCTTCCCTTCCAGCTCCCTGCCTGTGGCCCAGGAAAGCAGCCGAGGACGGCCCAAAGCTTTGGGACCCTGCACCCACGTGGGAGACCCAGAAGAGGCTCCTGGCTTCGGATAGGCATAGCATCGGCCGTTGTGCTCACTTGGGGAGTGAATCATCGAACGGAAGTTCTTTCTCTCTGTCTCTCCTCTCTGTATATCTGCCTTTCCAATAAAAATAAAATGAATCTTAAAAAAAAAAAAACAATGTGATGGGCTCGGCGTGATAGTCTAGTGGCTGAAGTCCTTGCCTGGTATGCTCCGGGACCCCATATGGTGCCGTTTCTGGTCCCGGCTGCTCCACTTCCCATCCAGCTCCCTGCTTGTGGTCTGGGAAAGCAGTTGAGGGCAGCCCAAAGGCTTGGGACCCTGCACCCACATGGGAGACCCCAAAGAAGCTCCTGGCTTCGGATCAGCTTAGCTCTGGCTGTTGCAGCCACTTGGGGAATGAATCAGTGGGCAGAAGATCTTTATATATCTTCGTTTCCAATAAAAAAAAAAAAATCATAAACTTTCTGAGAAGGGTAGAGCCAGACCAAATACTCCACAATGTCCGCAATGGCTAGAGTTGGGGCAGGGCTGACATTGGGAATTCATTCCAGGTCTTCCGTGTCATAGGAGAACCCAGTTGGGCCATAACCAGTCTCTACATGCCTGCTTTGATGGGAAGCTGGGGGCTGGAGTTAGGAGTTGCTCATACTCCAGCATGGGCAGAGGGCCTGTCGTCACTCGTCTCGCTGCCCCGTCACCTTCTTGGAATGGGATTGGCTGTGGGTTTTTCATATATAACTTTGTTGTGTTTAGGTGTGCTTGTTCTAGACTTCATTTGCTCAAATTTCTTTTTTTCATGAGGTGATGTTGAATTGTATCAAATGCTGTTTCTTGCATCTGTTTAAATGACTGTACAATGCAGTAACATTCATCGATTTATGTTAGTTGATCCGTCTTTGCATCCCTGGGATAAATCCGACGTGATCGTGCTGAATGATTTTTTTAATGAAAGAATTATTTGAAAGAGGGAGAGATAGTTAATGAATAAGTGCTCTTTGATGTGCAGGTAGATTTTATTTTGTTGAGAAAATTTGCGTTTATGTTCATCAGTGAGATTAATATGTTTTGTTGTTTTGGGGGATGAAGGTTATGCTGAATTTGTGAGTTTGGAATGCGTCCCTCCAAGGTTTTTGGAATAACTTGAGAATCATTGCTATTATCTCTTCATTTTCGTACCTTTCTATAAAATATTTATCTGATAAGAGAGGGAGCACCTTCTGATTGACTTCCCGAATACCTGCAACAGGTGGGACTGGACAGGTCACGCAGGAAGCCTCCAGCTCCATCTGGATCTGCGGCATATGTGGCGGGGATCCAGGACTGTGGCCGGCTACCGCTTGGGAGTGGAGTGGAGAGGACTCCAGCTGGCGCCCCTGTGGGGTCCTGGTGCATCGGGTGGTGCTGCAGGTGGTGGCTTACTCTCCTGAGCCGCATGCCAGCCCCGATTCTTTCTTTGAAGTTTGGTGGAATTCAGCAGTGGAGCCAGCCAGTCTCGTTTTTTTTGTTTGTTTGTTTTTGAAGATTTTAAAATTACAATTGGATGTCATTCTCATCCTGCATCTTGGCAGTTTGTGTGTCCTGAACTTTCTCTCTTTCATCCAGTTTTTCAGGTTTTGGGCTTATATTTGCTCCTAGCAGTTTCTTATGATCCTTTATATTCGTGTGTTATCAGTTACACTATCTGGTTGTTTCTAAATTACTTGATTCCCTCCCCTCTTTCCATTGCTAGCTAAAGGTTTGTTGATTTTATCATCCCCCAAACCAAGTCTTCATTTCATTGATGTTTTATACTATTTTTTTTAGCTTGTTTTATTACTGCTCTGATATATATATTTTTAAAGATTGATTTGTTTTTATCTGAAAGGCAGATTTACAGAAAGAAGGAGAGCTAGAGATGGAAAGGTTTCTGTCTTTTGCTGGTTCAGAGGCCCAGGCCTTGGGTGGCCAGTGCACCAAGTGGTGTCAGGCTCTGCCTGCTGGCCGCCCAGCGGCGAGCTCTGGGGTTTTTGATGATATGAAATAGCTGCTTTGGGACACCCAAAAGTAAGACCAGCGTTAGCGTAGGTGAGACACTAATTTCTGGTGATTCCCAGGAACCGGGACATGAAACCTTAATGTAAGTGTGGGACTGAGAGCTGAATGTTCGGACTAAGCAAACCTTAGTCCACTAGCATGACTGGAACACAGGGTGCAACACAGGACATGCCCAGCTTGGTTTTGGCTCCAACTGGTCCACATTAAGCACAGAGTTGAGCCACGGTGTCTAAGGCAGGGGTCATGACAGGTGGATGGGGCTGCGGCAGGGTCTGGATACAGTTGTTGTCTCCCTTGGCACAAATGTGGATTGGAAAAAGATGTACCGGGCCGGGCCAGACAGTAACACCTTCTGGTGCTTTGGAGTACCAGGGTGGATGTGGGACGGACTAGGCTAGGTCCCAAACTCAACTGAGCCATATACGAGCTATATGGGGGCATGGACGACCGTGGCTGGGCTGAAACACTCTACAGCAAGAACCAGAATGGGATGATGGCCAGTTAGGAAAGGCCACTGTTCCTGCTAGGACAAGAGGCGAACTGGCACATGGACCCACTGATATGCGCGAAACCTGGCACATGGAGGGGTTCTGATGGAGGAGCTCAGGCAACTCCTCTAGCAGGACACAGACCCTGCAGGTCAGCGCAAGGAACATGGAAGGTAACAGCCAAGAGGTCATCGAAAGTGTCCCACTGGCATGCATTTGGCATGGGTCGGGGGCAGACCAGGCTGAATCTGTTCATGTCATCCACTGGTAAATATGATCGCCAGAACAGAGTGTGGGTTGAACCAGGTCCAGTCGTGACAAAAGCAACACACAAGTTGGAATGCCAAGGTGAGGTAGCCTGAGCCGGATGCAGCCGCAGCACCCAACCAACACACGTGAGAACCAGGAAAGGAGGAGGCAGAGCTGACAGGAGAATAAGGGGAGGTTCCCTAGCTGAACAGCAACTTACACTGAGGAGCGTGAGCTGGGTGGGGGGTAGACCAGACCAGGCAGGGACACAGCGCCTGTGCACCTCATGGGACACTTACAGAGAGGAGACAGGTCAGTCTTCCATCCGCTTGTTTCTCAAAGGTCCTGATTTTCTTTTTGTTGGGGCCCGGCGGCATGGCCTAGTGGCTAAAGTCCTTGCCTTGAACACGCTGGGATCCCATACGGGCACTGGTTCTAATCCCGGCAGCTCCACTTCCCATCCAGCTCCCTGCTTGTGGCCTGGGAAAGCAGTCGAGGACAGCCGAGAGCCTTGGGACCCTGCACACGTGTGGGAGACCTGGAAGAAGTTTCTGGATCCTGGCTTCGGATCGGCATAGCATCAGCCATTGTGCTCACTTGGGGAGTGAATCATCGGACAGAAGATCTTCCTCTCTGTCTCTCCTCCTCTCTGTATATCTGACTTTCCAATAAATAAATAAATCTTAAAAAAAAAAAAAAAAAGATTTCTTTTTGTTGGGGAGGTAGATTTCCAGAGAGGAGAGAAAGGTCTTCCATCCAGCGTTCACTCCCCAGACGGCCGCGTCACTGGAGCTGAGCTGATCCCCAGGCAGGAGTCTTCTAGCCTCCCACGCTGATGTACATCTCGGGCCCTGGAGCGTCGGGACCGTGAACCAGTGCCCACATGGGATCCTGGCACTTGACAGGGGAGATTAGCCAACTGAACCAACACCCAAATGTCACGGTTTTGTAATAGTATGAGTCAAGACCCGAATCAGGCTCACACATTGCATTCACATTTTTAAATCTGTTCTTGAGTGTACCCTTCTCTTCCCCCACCTCTTATAGAACATTCATTGAAGAAACTTGTGTCTGGGGATCTTTTCTCATGGTAGTTTTATTGATTGCTTCTAAGTGCTTAGTTTTTAAGCAGTTTCCTCTGTATTTGCTGTAATTTAGCTGAATCTAAGGACTTGATCAAAGCTTATTTGTGGGAGACAGAACACTGTCCGCTCATGGTCACTGTGACACTGAAGGCACGTACTGTCTGGTCGACTCCAGCGACCTTCTTCTCAAGCATCTACTGCTGTGAATGGCACAAGCTCAGCAGTGAATCCAGTGTTTTTTGGTTCAAAATTGTAAAGCTAACATCTGCAAAAACAGCTCAAAGTTAAAATTAAAGGAGGGGTAAGCATTGTGGCATAGAAGATAAAGCTACTCTGTATATCACCTGTGGGCCCCAGTTGGTGCTGGCTGTTCCACCTCTGTTGAACTCCCTGCCAGTGGCTGGGAAAGCAGCGGGACATGGCGAGGCGTTTGTGCACCTGCCACCCACCAGGAAGACTTGGCTCAAGTTCCTGACTTTGTGCTAGCCCAGCGCTTGTCATTGTGGCCATCTTAGAGAGCGAACCAGCCGATGGAAGATCTGTCTGTCCTCTGTAACTCTTTGAAATAAATAAGTAAATATTTAGGCAGAATCCATACATAGTGTGTTCCACATGAACCTGGTTTGTGATTTGCTGATTCTTCATCAGGTGACGAATGCAGTATTGGTTCAGCCACGGATTTGACTGAGAGCAGCTCCATGGTGGATGGGGACTGGACGGTGGTCGAGGAGAATTTCTCCACGCTCAGTCTGACTCCGTCCGAGCTGGAGCACATCTCCATGGAGCTGGCAAGCAAAGGCCCTCATAAATCCCAGGTCCAGCTTCGGTGAGTCCCTCAGATCTTCAAGCTCAGTCTCGACTCGGGGAGTTCGTAGAGATGGCTTAGAGGGACCGCTGCCTTCTGATCACTGCCGCCCCATGCAAGCTTCGCTTCTTCCCAGTCCCAACCCTGGTGTTTCCGCTCTAGGTACTTCCTGCATATTTTCATGGAGGCCGGATGTTTGGACTGGTGCATTGTCATTGGCCTGATTCTGAGAGAATCCTCAGTAATCAACCAGATTCTGGCTATTATACAGTCTTCAGAGGTGGATGGAGAGATGTTACAGAACATTAAGACGGGGCTCCGTGCTGTGGACCAGTGGGCCTCTACGGATTGGTAAGTGTGGTCTCCCTGGGCCCCTTAGCCCTCGGTGGATCTGTCCCTTCTCCTCACAGCTTAGTTGTGGTTCAGCTGGTTTAGTTATGTTGTTCAAGTTTGATAGTTTTAAGTTAACTAGAAATAAAAATACTTCCATATATTAATTTTTACTTTAGTCATTCCTGACCCAGCTACTTGAATGATTAATGTCTCTTTAGTGAAGTTGAGTTTATACATTGCAATATGAAAAGACATCACTAGGTTGGGGCTGCCGCACAGCAGATCATCTTAGAATTAGTCTCGAACTTAAGGCTTATAGTTCTATGGAATTGAAGCAAAGGTCGGCTTGAAAAGATGAAAAATCTGTCTGAAGTTAGCATTTCATGGTGGCTGCTAGCAAGCTCACATTTTGAGTGCTTGACGGGACTGGAGAAGCCTCGTGGTCCAGCCCAGCCCCGCTGCTGTCAGCGGGATGTGGGTTTCTGCGTCAGGATTTCCCTTACATGGACCTCATTCTCTTCAGTTGCCACATGTGTTTGATGTTAAAATGTCAGTGTTTGCTTCTAATGCTCAGATCCTGGAGTCGTGGCCCCATGTGTGGCAGTCCCAGGGCACTGAGCAGGCCACTCGGCAGCCTGCCTTCTCCCACAGCCTGCTGCTGCCTTTACTGTCCGCGCTTAGATGTTGATCTAACACTGTACCAAGGCTTGTGAATTTGGAAGATGAGAGCTGCTTTTCTCTCCCCCTCTGCTTAGCCCTGGATATAAGCCATTTTTAAACATGATTAAGCCTCAACTGCAGAAGCTCAGTGAGATGACGGAAGAGCAAGTTGAGCCTGACGCCTTCCAGCCAGTAACCACAGGCAAGACCACGGAGCAGGCCAGTCCCCGGGCCGAGGAGCGCAGGGGATCCTGCAGCCACGGAGCCGTCCCGCAGGGCGAGGCGGCGGGGACCAGTGCAGCCAGCCGCCAGGAGGACGACACGGCTCGGGCAGAGCAGGAGGAGCCCTTTCAGGATGGGACTTACGACTGCTCTGTGTCCTGACCGTGAGGCGACGTGTGACAAGCAGTATTAGCAGCAGCTGAGTCCACTGTGTCCTAGTTGCTGACGGATGACTTAAAGGGGAAGAGAACGCAGGGGCTCAGAGTCTCTTTCGTAAAGTATTATTAGATTTTAAGTAAGAAATCTCCGACTCCATAAAAATGTGATATCAAATAAAGCATCTTTCATAAAAAATTTCTTAAGCTGCAGGAGAAATACAACATGCTGTACATACGTACATTAGCAGATTTGGGCTTTATTCACAGGCTGGTAGCTCTTAAGGGAGTGCTTGGCCCCGGTGAGCTTTTGACTGCTTAGAGCTTCTCGCGCTTTTCCCTGGTTGACTGTGTGTGCTAAGGTGCTTGACCGGGTCCGAGCTCACTACACTCCCTGCTTGGCCCTCCCGAACAGATGCCTGCCTTGGCACAGCACGGGGACGCGCACGAGGGCCGTGGAAAGCGGAGTTCCGGGATGTTGGTTTTGGTGCCGCGGGGGCCTCCAAAAGCCGTGGAAACTGAGTGTCATAACACGTGAACGCCAAGGGTGTCTGCACCAAAACAAACCTTCTCCGGTTCCGTTCTCCATGCCCGGCTTGGCAGCTCCCCTGCCCGTGTCAGCGTGAGCCGTTCTCCTTTACCGTTGGCAGCCCGTCAGACCCCAGTCCTATCCGTGCAGGCTGTCCACACGGAGCGAGGGTGCCCGCTGGAGCGAGCTTTGTTCCTCCTAGATCAGTGTGGGCACAGGCTGAGGAATTCTCACCAATTCTGCTGGTAGATGCCACTAAACTGTTTTGTATCAAAAAATTGTACCTTTTTGTGAATACTCTTGGTGTAAATAAATCCAAAGACACTACTCATATTTTTAGCACTTGTATTATAATTTGTAAGGTTTTATGCTGGATTCCGCATGCCTATAAATACTTAGAGAATTATAGCAACAGGGCTTGTTTTTCTTTCCCAAAAAGAGCGGTCTTCATAAAGACAGACTCCTTATTGGCTCAGCTGGTCATAACAAAATGCTCACACTGATCATGAAATGGAACAGATTTTTGTGCAAATTAACATAGTTTACTATTTATTGATTTTGTAAATGGAATAAAATGGACTTTTATGTAAATAGACTGCTGAACCTTATCACGGCTACTAAAAATTAGTCTGTAAAGAATGCATCCTTCATTGTAAACTTTAGAGTATTTTATGTATTTGTAGATGACAAATTTGTTTTCATGTTGTGAAAACTGCATATTTCATAATTGGTTCATACTAGTCACCTATCCTCCACTGTATCTAATTACCTTATAACAGTATTCATTTAGATAGCTTGTTTGTACTGTGCAATTTGAACAAGGAATGCAATGTTATTTTTTACAAAAACTTATTTTTGTAACAACATATTTGATATGGACCAAATTCGTACCACTATGTTTAAAAAAAAAAAAAAGCCTCTTCTCACAGTGCAATTCCAGTTCAGAAACAAGGCCTGGTCCTCTCGCTGCCCTGGAAAGGAAATACCCGGATTCAGTTCTTAGCCCGTTTCCTTTGAAGGGAATTGAAACTATCTTGAATTGTTTGGTTCATAATTCATCAAACTCTTCAAAATTACTGATTTGGGGGAATTGACTGTCATTTACTTTTTACATTAGAAGTGCAATAATTTCACACCATAAAACTCCTAATGGATCAAATATGGTCTTATTGGTACCTGGTCCTTCTGGTGCTACTGTTACTTAAGTCAGCTTCAAACCACCTTTCCCTGAATGGCTGGAAGGTCAGTGTTTCCTGAATGAGTCCAGGCAGCCCAGCCAGAAAATAAACTGACCTCTCTTCTCCTGCCCCGGTCCGTCAGAGGGAACCAGCATCACTGTCGTTTGCTGCAGATCCTCATTTAGTAACAGCTGCACACAGCTGGCTAGCTCACACCATGCTGCCGCCGAGGTCACCCTGCGAGCAGCGCCCACAGGGTGACTCCTGCGGTGGAGGCCGTGAGCGAGTCCCTTCCTCTGTGAAATGTTGGCTTTCAACTAATAAATAGGCCACAAGGGAAGAAAATTGGTAAGTTTACATGTTCTATTTATTAGATACTTTGAATTCTTTGAAAAACTCATTTTTACCATGTTGTTTGGTTCACATCAATTGTTTTAAGCCATCATTTTAACCAAGGAACTTAAATATTACTATAACTATTTGAATTTTAGTGCATTCATGTCAATTATTTGTTGATACCAAAAGAAATCATCTAAGGGGAGAGTCAACATTTGCTTGTAATTAAATTTGTTGCTACTTCTGTAATTTGTATTTTTTTTAATAAGGGCAATAAAAATGATTGCACAAACTTCTGTTTATTTGTTATCAGGCAACAGCAAAAATATGTATTGAAAGCCACTTTTTGTAATTTTACCTTTTTAAATTTTCCTTATGTTGCAACTCGAAATTCAGAGATTTAAAATTCTTATTCTATGTAGATATGTAATGGGAGAATCAGAGTTGGCAATGTTAAATGTTAACTGCTTTCCCGGGCCACAAGCAGGGAGCTGGAGCTGCCGGGATTAGAACCGGCCATCCCGGGCGTGCAAGGCGAGGACCTTAACCGCTGTGCCATCATGCCGGGTGCTGGATTTGCTTCTTTTTTTTAAAGCTTTATTTTGATTGGAAAGGTGGAGAGACAGAAGGAGAGACGAGACCAAGAAGGAGAGACAGACAGAGAAAGAAAAAGGAGAGACAAAGAAAGAAGGAGAGACAGAGGAAGAAAGATCTTCCATCCGATGACTCACTCCCCCAAGTGGGCACCTCTTTCACTGACACAGGAGAGGGTATCCCAAGTGTCCTAACCTCCACACAAAATCCCTCCAGGGTCATGAGTCTATGACCTGTTACCCAAGGCCGGTGTCTCAGGTTTAAGATGTATGTTCCCCCACCCCCCAAGTGAGCACGGTCAAAGCCAGAAGCCTCTTCCAGGTCTCCCACGCGGGTGCAGGGTCCCAAAGCCCTGGGCCGTGCTCAACTGCTTTCCCGGACACAGGCAGGGAACTGGATGGGAAGCAGGAGCTGCCGGGATTAGAACTGGCGCCCATCTGGGATCCCGGGCAAGGGCCTTAACCACTGCGCCATCACGCCAGGCGCTGGATTTACTTCTTTTTTTTTAAGCTTTATTTTTTTTGGAAAGGTGGAGAGACAGCGAGGAAGATCTTCTCACTCCCGAAGTGAGCACGGAAGCCAGGAGCCTCTTCCGGGTCTCCCACAGGGTGCAGGGTCCCAAAGCTTTGGGCCGTCCTTGACTGCTTTCCTGGGCCACAGGCAGGAAGCTGGATGGGAAGCAGGAGCTGCCGGGATTAGAACCAGTGCCCATATGGGATCCCGGGCATGCAAGGCGAGGACCTTAACCACTGCGCCATCACGCCAGGCGCTGGATTTGCTTAATTGTACTTTGTGGTGTAACGTTCCATAGGCTGTCCTTAGATCAGTACCAGGCGGGCTTAATGGCTGTAGCTTTGCAGGAGTTGATGGAAAATGCCATACATTTGAGGCTGTGTTTTATTTCAACCAAGATCCATCCTGTCCCTTTGAACTTGGCAAATTCCCCAGCTAGATGGAGCCACTAGTTGAGACACAGCCGCGCCTCGTGTCTTCTTGCTCTTTAGGGGAGCTGCCGGCTTGCTGAGTACCGTATTAGCTTGAGGTTTCTCATAGGATTTTTGGAGAGCGTTTACTCGTCTGTTAAGATGCTCCCCTGCTTCTACTCTGTATTACTGAGTGTACTACCTTACTGTTTTGCATTAAATCAACGACCTCTGGGGTAAGCCCCACTGCGTCACTGCAGAGTGCAACTGAGCAGAAATTACAGGTTACATTTTTGAAAATCAAATGTGAAGGCGGTAGTTTCAAAGAGATACGTAAATACTTGTGGTTACAGTCCGCCACGAAGAGCTGCTTCACCTCCAAGGCACGCTCTGTGGGGGGTGGTCACTGTTGAAAAGGAAGTTCTTTAAGATGTATAAATATGGTCAACTTCTCTGGAAGGGTACCACCACTTCAGTTTGTAGTGAAAGTGATGGAGGCAGAGAACATGTGTCACTTTGGCTGGTTTGGGATGCTAGCCACCCTGTGGACAGGAAATGGTATGGCATGTTTCTGCATTACAAGTTAACTGCTTCATTCATTAGAGAGAGCAATCATTTATGGTAAAAAGTTTATTTCAGTAACATTGTAAGGCAACAACAAATCTTCAACAAGGCAGCAAACCAGGATCAGACAGTCTGCTTCCCTCCAGCTTCCCGGGGCGGGGACGGCTGGAGGCATCCTGGCTAACTGTGGAAGCACTCCATGCGACAGTCATTCTTAGCTCAACAGAAGGAAAAAGCACTTAAATCATAATTCTTCATATTTTCCCTGAAAGTGTACTGTG